AACAAATTTTCGCTGCAAAGTGATTTTGTTGATTGCATTATTAGATGTTTCATGAAAAACTTCATGTTTTCCATATATGATGTTTTACTAACTGCGTTTTGGAGACGTACATATTTGTAAAGTCGTTTTTCACTTAAAAACGTTAAATAACTACAAGGACAATATAATATGTTGCTATATATGACGCCTTCTATTCTAAGACCTTTCAGCAGTACCCAAACTCAGTCTTTTCAATAGGTAACAGTCAAAGCGACTGTTCTGGAATTCAATTAGTAGGACTTTCAGTGTATTTCTTATATATAGTTCCCTTCCAATAATACACTTAACAATTACTCGGACTCACTTATAATTTCACTGGTATCAAACTAGTTTACTAGCACACTAAAATTTGAAACAAGTGATAACTCTGCTTGAAAGTGATGATACATTTATTGTTAACTGTCTGAACAACTTCACCACGTACATACTGTTCTAAATCATTAAAAATTACGCCTAAAAACAACTGGACCATTGAATCAATCAGTTTAATGGGCTTGCATATCAGCGGACTACATACTCTGATTATATTATCTTGCCTGAGCCGTGCCAGCTAGGGGATTCGGAAGTTACATAGTACCAGCCTTGTTACTTCATTCACGACTGGAGTTTATCCCAGTGAAATATTTAATTGATAGGAGTAAAATGAGGCATTTACTCGGATATACTTTGTTTGTCTTGACAGTATTAATCAGTTTTAAATATTTAGACTTTAGAGTATATCTAACTCTATCAATCCATATACAAGTAATTAATAATAATGAACTAGCTAAAGCGATAATTTTTGAGTCGAAATTTGATCATTTTGATAGATAAGATGGAAATTTGTCTTGACAACAGAAATTCGAAATAATAGAACTCTAGAAGAAAACAAAAGAATTCTCTTTGTCTTGTGATATCTCAATAAAAACACTTATTTTCAGTACCTCAGTTTTTATTTGTGGCAAAATTTAATGAGGAGAAGTTTATGGTCTGTAAAGACAAGTCATTTCAGTTTGACATATTTCTGGCAGTTGAAATCCTTCTAAATCACTTACTCTTGGTCCACTATCAGTAAAATTGAAGAATAACTGTTGTGCCCAACCAGTATTCCCTTCATACCAAAAGCAGGCTGGTGTACGTCTAATTGAACAACGAGAGTGGTGCAAGAAAAGGAAGACAATATAAAGGCAAAATAAACTCTTTATCGTGCATTAATGGATAGACGAAACCAATCTGAATATTGTTCAAAATAATGAATTCAAGCGTATTTTTGAAAATGCAGCGTATGTTGGAAACGGAATTGCTATATGAAATATGCTTATAAGGGAGCAAGTAGTTCAGTGCAGAGACTCTTTCGCGGATTTCAGTTTCCTACAGCTACCCTTTCTGTAATTTCGGTTCAGTTTTTTCTGTATCATTTTTAAACCACACGTGTTTCTTTCAACATTTTGTTATCCTACGTAACATTTTGTTCACATATCATAGTCTTGATACAATTCCAAACATATTTCAATTATTCTTTAACATTCATAACAATTACAATCATGTACACAAGTGGTTTAAGGATACGCTTGCTTATGAATTCTAACAAGCTCGAACCTTTTAACTGCGGCTTCCGGCTAATCAATTCTTTAAACATTGTGAATGACATTTTGAGAAAGTTAGTTTTAGAAAATATAATGCGGTAGGGTTGACAAAATTCAGCTTTCTTTGTTAACCAGTCAGACTCAATCTACTTTTCTGACCAACTAGAACCAGAGATTTTGTGCCAGAGTCTAAATGTTAAACGACTTTGGAATAGATATTTAGTTCTAATGAAGGCTCTATACTGATAGTCATGTAGCCCTGCTAGGCTACTCAGTGAGATGTCATCAGAAGAAACGTTAAACAGTGATTTACTCCAAAGATGCTCACTCCAGCTTAATTTCGTAATAGACGTGCTAACTGATAAAGCTCCAGGCATCTGTGACTTCAAAGGTATGGAATTATGCTCAGCAGGGTGCTTTGTTCGCTTGCAGTACACAGACGAGGAAGTCCTAGTCCTGTTAGCTGAAGAAGTTGAGAAAATGTAGAATTTTCGAAAACTAGTGAAATCGTGGCATGTTTGGCATACGGTTCGCACCAGTTTCATGTAAGGTGATGATGCACGACTGGTTTGCGCTGACTCTTAGATCAGGCAGGGATTGAGACTGAATTGGTAGAGTACAATAACTGCTTCACTTACGTAGCGATTAGCATCAAGTTCAATATGTTGTTTCTTAGTGAAATCTCAGCTCGGATTCGAATGACATGGAATTCTGCAGTGTTTGTTACTTCAATTTGAACCGGTTATTTTCTTTGGTAAGTTTGTGTAGTATGATAAGAAGGTGAAGCGTTTGTTATCGAGACAATCTGCGCGCAAGGTCACTTGTCAAAGCACTTCATGTCAAAATGATAACATGAAGTCAGTTGAAGAGCTTGACCATGACACTTAACTCATTTGATGGAGAACCCGAATGCTATATTGGAGGCTGCTGGTAAGAATGCTGTTGTGAAAGAAGAATAACGCATTTCGACACTAGTTTCGATGGCGAATTGATTGATACACGGATTACAGAGATGAGTTTAATGTAAGCAAACGTTGTATTGTAAACACTTGTAGGAAACAGATATCCACTGGGTTTTCTAACTGGTCTCAGAAGTTGCTTAGCGTCAACAGCCATTCTGTGTTCTACTCCAAAGTAAAGTCTTCCTATCACTCTACAACAGAGGTGCGACTCGACTTGTATGAACTAGTGACAGGTGTTCAGATCTGTCATCAGTAGAATACAGTGTACCGCTAAGCTTATTACATACAGTTGAGAAACTAGAGTGCATATCCCACCAGAAATAAGCTTGAGCACTAGCTAGACGATTGTATCTAAAGATTGAAATGAATATGCATACATGAGGAGGAGTAATCCGTTCATGTGGTTGAGAGTAAGCACAGATGAACGAAAATCGCTTCAAAAATGTCTGAGAACGAAATTTCTCATTGGCATAGATGATAAATAACCTTCTTTATCTTTATCCATGGCCACCACATGGACCTATCACAGAAATTAATCAGACATATATGAATGTATTGTGAAAACAATTTTTAAGATGCCACATCACAACGTGAAAGGATGCATACTGACTGACATCTGATGAGGCAATATGCAGAAGTGAAGCGAAGTCAGTTTTGTGTGAACAAACAATCTGCCGGTTACCTGAGCCCACTTTTGTTGTCTTCTCTTGATTTCATAAGAATAGGTGGTGTGAAAGTGTGTTATTCTTCCGGTATAATCTTTTCTATTTTGAATATCTTATTATTAGGATTCTATTTCTTGACTAGTAATCCTCACTTTTATTTGAATTGACTTGACAACTCAACTTGTAAACAGATGGTCCGACATGTGTTGTGCAAACTCATGAGTTTTTAATCCGACAATCTTCGTCTACTAATTGCGATGTCCAACGATTGGCAACAGCCTATGAAAGAGTTGATGCATCAGACGTATTAGGAAGACGTTTGATGCCAGTGTGGCCGTGATGAGTAAGTGTGAAATCGTGTGAGAAATTTCCATGGAGATGAAGTGAATGTAATTGGGCGAAATGTACGTCAGTCACCACGTGGAATTCATTGTCTGTTATCATTGCATGTATGCCATTCATAATAGCTTTTGCATTACAGAAATGAAATCTTTCTGCTCCTTAGTATAATGCTAATTACCATATTTTCCAAATCCAATCTTCATTTCTTTAGTTCTTAGCTTCATTATTGGCTTCAAATTCGTTAGTATTTCAATTGATTGACCCATCACTATTGAACTGCATCTTCTTTTTTTATTTTGAAAGGCATGTATTAGAATGGGTCCGATGACGAAAATGTAGTCTTGAAGAACACTTCTTCGCTCAGTTCATCTTTCATTTGAAATAAGTGAATAGGAATTTACACGTGGTTTATCCTAAAAGCTGAATTTTCAGCTGTAAAAGTGGTTGTTACAACAGTCCATATTTGGGAATTGGAAACAAATTTTCGCTGCAAAGTGATTTTGTTGATTGCATTATTAGATGTTTCATGAAAAACTTCATGTTTTCCATATATGATGTTTTACTAACTGCGTTTTGGAGACGTACATATTTGTAAAGTCGTTTTTCACTTAAAAACGTTAAATAACTACAAGGACAATATAATATGTTGCTATATATGACGCCTTCTATTCTAAGACCTTTCAGCAGTACCCAAACTCAGTCTTTTCAATAGGTAACAGTCAAAGCGACTGTTCTGGAATTCAATTAGTAGGACTTTCAGTGTATTTCTTATATATAGTTCCCTTCCAATAATACACTTAACAATTACTCGGACTCACTTATAATTTCACTGGTATCAAACTAGTTTACTAGCACACTAAAATTTGAAACAAGTGATAACTCTGCTTGAAAGTGATGATACATTTATTGTTAACTGTCTGAACAACTTCACCACGTACATACTGTTCTAAATCATTAAAAATTACGCCTAAAAACAACTGGACCATTGAATCAATCAGTTTAATGGGCTTGCATATCAGCGGACTACATACTCTGATTATATTATCTTGCCTGAGCCGTGCCAGCTAGGGGATTCGGAAGTTACATAGTACCAGCCTTGTTACTTCATTCACGACTGGAGTTTATCCCAGTGAAATATTTAATTGATAGGAGTAAAATGAGGCATTTACTCGGATATACTTTGTTTGTCTTGACAGTATTAATCAGTTTTAAATATTTAGACTTTAGAGTATATCTAACTCTATCAATCCATATACAAGTAATTAATAATAATGAACTAGCTAAAGCGATAATTTTTGAGTCGAAATTTGATCATTTTGATAGATAAGATGGAAATTTGTCTTGACAACAGAAATTCGAAATAATAGAACTCTAGAAGAAAACAAAAGAATTCTCTTTGTCTTGTGATATCTCAATAAAAACACTTATTTTCAGTACCTCAGTTTTTATTTGTGGCAAAATTTAATGAGGAGAAGTTTATGGTCTGTAAAGACAAGTCATTTCAGTTTGACATATTTCTGGCAGTTGAAATCCTTCTAAATCACTTACTCTTGGTCCACTATCAGTAAAATTGAAGAATAACTGTTGTGCCCAACCAGTATTCCCTTCATACCAAAAGCAGGCTGGTGTACGTCTAATTGAACAACGAGAGTGGTGCAAGAAAAGGAAGACAATATAAAGGCAAAATAAACTCTTTATCGTGCATTAATGGATAGACGAAACCAATCTGAATATTGTTCAAAATAATGAATTCAAGCGTATTTTTGAAAATGCAGCGTATGTTGGAAACGGAATTGCTATATGAAATATGCTTATAAGGGAGCAAGTAGTTCAGTGCAGAGACTCTTTCGCGGATTTCAGTTTCCTACAGCTACCCTTTCTGTAATTTCGGTTCAGTTTTTTCTGTATCATTTTTAAACCACACGTGTTTCTTTCAACATTTTGTTATCCTACGTAACATTTTGTTCACATATCATAGTCTTGATACAATTCCAAACATATTTCAATTATTCTTTAACATTCATAACAATTACAATCATGTACACAAGTGGTTTAAGGATACGCTTGCTTATGAATTCTAACAAGCTCGAACCTTTTAACTGCGGCTTCCGGCTAATCAATTCTTTAAACATTGTGAATGACATTTTGAGAAAGTTAGTTTTAGAAAATATAATGCGGTAGGGTTGACAAAATTCAGCTTTCTTTGTTAACCAGTCAGCATTGTTCCATCTAGGTGGTTTCAGTTTTCAGCTGTTTTTCTAATTCAGTCAATTCGCAACACACTAAGATCATCATCCAATATCTTCAAGTTTGTATCTGCTGTTATGGATTGCATAAGTATTTCAAGTTACTATTCACTTCTATTTCATTGATAAATGGCTTATTCGAAGGTACTCGATGGAGTTACAGCTGAAGTACGCATTGAAACCTCGATCACTGCAGGATTCGAATTAGTTGCACTTGGGTTGCCAGTCTTGGCTGATCTGTGAAACTTGTGATGTCTTAGATAGTCTTGCCAACAATCAAAAACATTTTTGTGATGTATACGTTTGGATGGGTTTGATAACCATATTTACAACTGTTTTGTTATCTTTGTCATAGTAACTAACAGTAAACTGTTGAAAGCGTTAACATCCTTTTTAGAATCGTCTCCTGAATGTTGATGTTCAGAAGAAAACTTTGACTAGTCACTGGTCACTTGAAATGTCACAGAATTATCCATATCCTAACTGAAGTTCAGTAGCTAACGCTTCCCCGATGTGCTTTAATTATTATTCCAGCTTAGAGTTTTCTGCATGTGATGCCAACACTAAATCGTCTCATTCCATGGCGTATGTGGCCCATACAATAGTGTTTGAAATGATCTGTCATGTTTCAGTTGGAGCATTCAATCAAAAGAATTCCCAACAAAAGGTGTTCGAACAGATTTATCACCCTAAAACTACATCGGTTGAAGATAATATCAAAATCAAATTTTTACTGTTAAAGGTGTTCTTTTCTGCTGCATCACTTTCAGGAATCTTACTTTCAGACTTCAGAAGAGTGAAAAGTGATGAACCTCTACTATATATGCCACTGGCTGATATGCGTAGTTATGCACCACTCATCCTAATCAGTACTGCTCACCAGCCACAGCAGGGTGGGCTGTATAACCGACAGCCATTTCAATTCTATACAATGTAACTTATTATTGAGTCAGAAATGTCCGTAATGCAAATACGATGTTCTACAATTTAACACCGCATAACTTAACTAAATCGTCTCACTTATAGTAATCATTCATAGTCACGAGCAATAGTATATGTGATTAATTACTGATTAACATCAATAAACACTACAGAGGATTATTTGTATTCTCTAAAATTCACCCATCATTCCTCTCACTACAAAGATGAATGAAGTGTGCTAAACTTTAAAAAGCCTTCCAAGAGTATCATGAGTTTATATTAAAGTTTCAGACATACCTCTCTGATAAACCCCAACATTAACAAAGTATGTGTCTTGTGATCATTTCAAATCGCTTAGTGTGTACCTAACATTCGACAATAACTTAAAGTGAAAGATTTACGTGAAACCGATTCTCTTGGACTAGATAGAAATGATCAAACTGTGAACAAAGTTACGAAAAAGTATCTAGCTTATATTTAAAAATGTGATTTTTATCACAAAGTGATTTCGCTAAGACAAATGTATCAAGTCATAAGATACTGAACAGTTCTTCATAAGTTACTGGTGTATCTTACTGCTCCCACTTATGAAATATTTGAGGATCAAAATGATATTATCTAGATCATATTGAAAATCAAGCCGCTTAAAATAAAACTTTTAACTGAACTAAAACTTAGGGATATATGAGGATACTAATTCTTTTTAAATCTCTCTACTAAACTAACTTTTTTGATTTTTCAGAAGTCCACCCATAGGCACCGAAAACAGGATGTTTGTTCTTTATTGATTTCTTTCTTTGCTTCACATGTCTTCTTTGAAAACTTTCATCATCATCAATCGGTATGGTCCACCATTGAATAGTTTGATTCAATACACCTAATCCAAGCTGTTCAGTTGTACCATTGTAGTAGTGTGCAAACGTTTGCATAAAATTTCTGTGTGGTGCACCCCATGGTTTACGATATACACAACATGGTCCATAACCTGAATCAGTTGGCGCTATGAGATAAGCAGTTTGATTGTAATTAAATATTATACATGGGAAATAGCTCGACGGTTCAAATATTGGTACACAATAATCTTGATAATATTCTAATGCAATGTCCAAGTCGATAGCATACCATGTCATGCCACGACCGACGGCATACGGTAACTGAGGTGGATAATTCTGTGGCCATGGCGGTAAAGGCATTTGATCATCATCTCTAGGAGTATAGTAGATAGTAAATTCTGTGTAAAATCTTTCTGGTAAATTTGGTGGTATCGCAAAGAATGGTGAATTGATTGGATCAGTTGAAGAGGAATAATCCAAATGATGAAATAACTAGGAATGATAAAAAGTGGATAAAAATAAATTATCATAGTGTTGGAAAGATAGAGTTCAACTCTGTAAGCAATACGTACATCCTAACAACAAAAGTCTTACTTCTAATATACAGTAACCGAGAGATAATTAATTAATATGATAATCTAGAACTACAGTGTAAGATTTTTCTCTTAACAGTGTATCTCACTTTCACTTCTGTTTTAAGCGATGAAAAATTTTTTCAGTACACTATAAAACACAGTTGACGCAAACTACATCGACGAAGTTATCATAGTAAATGATACAATACTAACCGTAATTGCTTACAATTTCACACGAGTTAGAAAGTTAACCGAATCTATTTTATTGTATTGTAACCAGCGCATTTACAATACGTAATTTATTCACAAACATCTGTGTTTCAGGAAAAGAGAATGTTTCCAGCTAATATTTATCCATTTGTGTTAAAATAACAGAGATGATTAGTGTAGCAAATGTTTGCCTACTACACCAGTGAATTAATTGATGATCAAAATTATTCCATCGGTTCCTCGATACTCACAACGTATCGATTAAACCTTTATCACAGATAGTTCAGCGCAGTTAGTGAATGACCAAAAAGTTCAGTTTTAGGATTTTAGAAACGTATTAGATGTATGAATACACTTTTTGAAGGATTATATTTCTCTTTCAGAGATTTTGACCCATAAAGTTGAGCTTTGCAGTTCGGAGTACGTGGTTATTGAAATAATTTGATAGATGCGATTAAAAAACTATATTTTATTCAGATATCTTGTTGTGTGGAGTGTGTAAAAAGTCACTAAATAGCCTAGTGAACACTAACAAGTCGACTAGGTGTGACACGTGTAAGCTTTGAAGTGGTCACAGGAACATCGTGTAAGTTCATGTAGTCATCGTAGATTAAGGTTAGTTGTGAGAGAGGAATATCGGATTACACGCTGGCTAGTTTTCTATCATGAAAGGAATGTGGTAATCAGAAAAGTTTATATATATATATATATATATATATATATATATATATATATATATATATATATATATATATATATATATTCGCTCTACACTCGATTCTGAATGTCAAATTTCGGTCACGTATTTCCCAAGAATTTCGTTTACTTGACATCATTTCTTGTATTTTTCTTTTTTTGATTTTCACTGTGCTGTTTATAGTTCTTGTTATGAAATTGTGTCAATTTGCGCTATTCAGATGCAGTGATATATGCACACAGATTCATCTGTCTGCATAACATCTGATTGAATTTCCATTTGCTAATAGTTGTTGTATCATTGTGATTTGTATTGAAAATTATGCCATGGTTAAGGAGGTAACCAATCAAAATTTACTTGTGACCTAGGAGCTCAGTTGGTAGAGCATCAGCCCGGTAACTCGTTGGTCGCTGGTTCGATTGAATCCAGGTGCGATTCAAATTTCCATTTCACCTTCAATCATAATCCAGTATAAATACTACAAGTCTGCCAAACCACGGCTATCTCAAATAGTCAAAATGATAAATTAGAAAGTGAACAAAGATTCCAATCTATTGGTCATCAATATATATAGCATGAAAAAACATTTTCATTTTCGTTAATACAGGAGTAAAATTTGGGCACTGTCGTAGATTGCAATTCCATTTTTGTTTGTTTATTCGAATTGTCAAACATTGAAATAGTATCATTAACTGGACAAGGTTTCGGACATAATTTATTGTCCGTATTCATATTCTGATATAAATATGTTCAAAATGTTTGCCAGTGAATAACACTGTTTCACTATGTGACATTTCTAATAAACCAACTGAAATGGAATTTCTATGTTAAACTGACTTAGCCTAGTTAGTTTTATATGACTGCCATGCCAACCTTCTGCAGTTTCTTGGTTAACTTTACGTTTTCTAACAATGTACATAAGCACTTCTACGTAATATATTCATGAAAGAATTGTTTTATAAACATGATTTGTTAGTCGAATCAGTTTTCCAAGCACTACAGGAATAATTCAGTATTTGTCTCAGATAACCAGAGGTTTGAAATTTCCCGAATAAAATGGTAAACTAATATTTGCATTTTTCACCAGTGCTTTGCAACTGTGACTTCTACTTAGAACTCATAAACAGATAACTAACTTTTTGAAAAATCGTCCAGGGCGAACTTACCGAAAACATGTGAAAAATTCAACCATGAATAGCACTATAAGATAAACTACACTATGTCATGTTTTAGTTTGACAGAACCGATGGCGTAGATATTTTAAAATAAGTGAATTACGTGGCAGTAGGACAATATTTAACCTAAGACTTCTCAGATTTCACTAAATTTAACTAATCTGACAATGACACTTTACAACTTTACAAAATACAAATATTCGGTTGTCAATCATCTAAAACTTTAAATAAATTGCATCCAAAAGGTAATCCAATGTATAATACTGTTACGCGGTGTGATACATCTAATAGATCAACTGAAATGGAATTAAAATCCACCAGTGTCCCAGTTTGATTCATATTCTCTTAATAAATCATAATGACTTTCAGGTAACATAAAATGAAGTTGGTTAATTTAAATCAGTTTCGACGTGATAAATCTTGGTCAAACCGATATCAGAAGCAATCATCACACTAATCATTGAAGTGGATATTAAACATACGATTGAGTCACTGTGGTTCTATTTGTTATTTTCTACATTAGTAAACTTTGAGTTTTAACAAATGTGTACGTGAATCTATGTGGAAGTAATCAGCCGAAATGTATTCACGCTTAAGGTTATAAATAACACCAATATGATATGATTGCGTTTGGGTGTAACAGTGCTAGTATAGAATAAATGGAACAGTAAACAGTGTGTTCAATGAAGAATTGTGAAAATTAAGCTAGTAACTATCGTCCCTCTTTTAGTTCCCTCTCACCAGCTTCCACAAACTGTCATTAATTTTAATCACTCGCAAATAACTTATCTCATAGCTCAACGCTAAGCTTGACCATATGACTTCTATTTGTAATTACTGAAAGTCCTCATCAGCTCAATTTTTTTTGCTATCATTTTCATAGGAATATGGATCACTAAAATACTTCAGCAATGAAAGCTGAAAAATCCTACCTTACCCTAATTTAAACAAACTCTTCAATAAGTGTGAAAATATCCATGAACATATTGTTTTTGTTTGGAAACACAACGGACACAAATATTCCACCTAATAATTGAAAGATCTTCCAACCTGAACAATACCAAGTCATTATTATTCATTAAATATTTAATCGATCATAGTTCACACATCTTGATACCCAACTACCAAACATAGAGTGGGATAAACAACGTATAAAACTTAATATCAGCTCGTTAGGACTAACAAAAGTGATTGTGATTGTGAACCCCTGGTTTGGTGGCCAAATTATCAAGTGGCCGATAGAATTCGGTCAGCCCTCAGGACTAAACAATATTAAATTGTTGCACTCCAGTGACCAACCAATTTTCTGAAGAAAAACTGAAGTAGTAAAGTCAAATAAACTTGTACAATATCTCACTTTGTGTCCATATTTTAGACTCGTTTACTTGATTTAACACATGATGATACAGTATCATTTACTGAAAAAGGAAAATGGGGAATACGAAAGCTGTTGTCAATTCGCTTAAACGCAAATAAATATTGTCCACACTATAAGAATCTATGCTTCCACTGTCAAATCTACATGATAATGTATTATTCAATACCAATGGTTTGAACTCTAAAACCAGCATTTTTACCATCATTTACACAATTTAGGTACGAAAAAGAAGACTGATTTCCAGTAATGATATAATAGTATATGCTAATAGTTAAAGATAGATTGTCCGATCGGATCGGTTAGCATTCATAAGTAAATAAAGCTTAAATAAGATGAGATAAAATTATCTTGAACGGAGCTAGAAGACGATGAAATATTCCTAAAAAAGTATAAAATATTCTTACCAGGAGTGATGCATCCAATGGTTGTATGTGAAAAGAAAGGTAAATGGAGACTAAAGCTTGAATGGGATATCCAAAGATCCTCGACATTCTCATCAGTAAGTAAAAATTGTGTTATAGCAAAGTATGCAAAGGTTTTCTTGAGTTAGACTAGTTTAAAGAGAAGCAAGCAAAATCTTACACACATGCATAAATATACATGTACATAAGGGTGCTGTTATGCATACGTATTTGCATTGTTTACTATGTCAGACTTTTTAAAGTGACGAATAGAATCAGTTCGTTCAAACAACCAATGTGTTTCCGTATTTACGAAGTAACCTATCGAAAGTTGCTACAATAAACAAAGGATAAATTTTCACATATACAGGCAACAAGACAGTAAAATGTTTAATATACGTAAATGGTCAAATAGCAAGATAATTTAACTATACATATAACATTTACATTTTTTAAATTTCTCGTTTTCAAATACACTGGATTTCATTCAGTTGCCAATATAGCCTGACGTTTAAAGTCATCGACGTCGGTTTCAGCCTTCGGTTCAAACGCCAACACTACTCGATAAGCAGCAACGGTAAACTCACAAGTTTCAAACAGAAAGAAATGCGTGTTCTGTTTCAAAGGGCTAAAAATAACATGAAACAATACGAGATCAATTTAGCGGCAAAGGTATCTGTTCAAACATATGATATAAAAAAACCATTGCGTAAGGCATGATTATCGCAATTTAAATGCCTAAAAGATTATGCTATCCCGCTTCAAGCAGAGAGTGAATGATTCCCAAAATACTTGTGATAACAAAAATACTAACAAATTTGAAGCAATAATGAAGCTAAAAACTAGAGAAAGGAAGATTGGATTTGACAAATATGACAAATACTTGAGATCGATTGAAGTGTGGAACAAGTTGTTGTACTAAATATATTACAGACTGACATAGGTAGTTATGCGCCACTCACACAAATCGGCAGTGCCCTCCAAAAATAGATCTCATCAGCGATAGACACGAACGATTCAGCAAACAGAGTGAAAGTGTTCTAACCACCAGAAACTACGGCTGGCTAATTAAGGCGAATGAAATCAGGTGTTTGCTAAATACATACTCCATGTTGAGAAGTTCCACTATGATTTCCTCTGGAAACTGACTTCCTCATATCACACAGTATGGTCTCATTGACACTACATGTGGTTTGGGCAGTTGTGAAACACTCACAACAATCATCAGTGCTCTCTGCTAGCATCAGTGTGACCTAACACAGCGGATGACATGTAGAACGGGCAGTATCACGAAGTTTATCTTCACTGTTGCATTTTTCACTGATGCAATGCACAAGATAGGACATAACTTTGCACCATACAGTGTTCTCAGAATGACACTTCTCAAACATCATGTTAACAATCTCGCTGGTCGTGCCAGTTTTGAATCCACACATCAATAAAACACGTCTGTTACACTCTGTTACCACTCATCATTCACCATCCATCCCATTCAAATGCTTATTTATGAGTGACATAGCACACATAAAATATATGGTCTGAAAATACATCAGTGCGCGCAGAATTCTGTTATGCCATCACATCAAATAAGTTGAAAAAAGAACATAATTTATAAGCAAATCTGTCAGGATCCAGACCATCAAACTTATACCAGAAACCGACTCCTAGTTCATTTCATAAGCTTGTAATACAGAAGTGTATACAGAAGTCGAAACAATTTCAGCAGACAAGAGTGTCTGTCTTGGTTCTTTGCAGGTGGTTAAGGTATACATGAAAGTCTGTCAGGAAGAAAGAGCTGAAAATACCAATCGTAGGCATAGTTCATTTATCGTGTCGCTAGACAACCAGTTCACTTCTAACTATCCCATTGTTTCAAAACTAAAAAAATTCTTGTATTATTCACTGCGTCGGAGGGAGGGAGGTTGACTATAGGTGTTTCAATACAATTCAGACGAAAGCCACGTTTATTGGTGGTAACTAAATGTACAATGAAATTGATTCAACATTATACTAAGGAGAAGAAAGATTTCATTTCTGTAATGCAAAAGCTATTATGAATGGCATACATGCAATGATAACAGACAATGAATTCCACGTGGTGACTGACGTACATTTCGCCCAATTACATTCACTTCATCTCCATGGAAATTTCTCACACGATTTCACACTTACTCATCACGGCCACACTGGCATCAAACGTCTTCCTAATACGTCTGATGCATCAACTCTTTCATAGGCTGTTGCCAATCGTTGGACATCGCAATTAGTAGACGAAGATTGTCGGATTAAAAACTCATGAGTTTGCACAACACATGTCGGACCATCTGTTTACAAGTTGAGTTGTCAAGTCAATTCAAATAAAAGTGAGGATTACTAGTCAAGAAATAGAATCCTAATAATAAGATATTCAAAATAGAAAAGATTATACCGGAAGAATAACACACTTTCACACCACCTATTCTTATGAAATCAAGAGAAGACAACAAAAGTGGGCTCAGGTAACCGGCAGATTGTTTGTTCACACAAAACTGACTTCGCTTCACTTCTGCATATTGCCTCATCAGATGTCAGTCAGTATGCATCCTTTCACGTTGTGATGTGGCATCTTAAAAATTGTTTTCACAATACATTCATATATGTCTGATTAATTTCTGTGATAGGTCCATGTGGTGGCCATGGATAAAGATAAAGAAGGTTATTTATCATCTATGCCAATGAGAAATTTCGTTCTCAGACATTTTTGAAGCGATTTTCGTTCATCTGTGCTTACTCTCAACCACATGAACGGATTACTCCTCCTCATGTATGCATATTCATTTCAATCTTTAGATACAATCGTCTAGCTAGTGCTCAAGCTTATTTCTGGTGGGATATGCACTCTAGTTTCTCAACTGTATGTAATAAGCTTAGCGGTACACTGTATTCTACTGATGACAGATCTGAACACCTGTCACTAGTTCATACAAGTCGAGTCGCACCTCTGTTGTAGAGTGATAGGAAGACTTTACTTTGGAGTAGAACACAGAATGGCTGTTGACGCTAAGCAACTTCTGAGACCAGTTAGAAAACCCAGTGGATATCTGTTTCCTACAAGTGTTTACAATACAACGTTTGCTTACATTAAACTCATCTCTGTAATCCGTGTATCAATCAATTCGCCATCGAAACTAGTGTCGAAATGCGTTATTCTTCTTTCACAACAGCATTCTTACCAGCAGCCTCCAATATAGCATTCGGGTTCTCCATCAAATGAGTTAAGTGTCATGGTCAAGCTCTTCAACTGACTTCATGTTATCATTTTGACATGAAGTGCTTTGACAAGTGACCTTGCGCGCAGATTGTCTCGATAACAAACGCTTCACCTTCTTATCATACTACACAAACTTACCAAAGAAAATAACCGGTTCAAATTGAAGTAACAAACACTGCAGAATTCCATGTCATTCGAATCCGAGCTGAGATTTCACTAAGAAACAACATATTGAACTTGATGCTAATCGCTACGTAAGTGAAGCAGTTATTGTACTCTACCAATTCAGTCTCAATCCCTGCCTGATCTAAGAGTCAGCGCAAACCAGTCGTGCATCATCACCTTACATGAAACTGGTGCGAACCGTATGCCAAACATGCCACGATTTCACTAGTTTTCGAAAATTCTACATTTTCTCAACTTCTTCAGCTAACAGGAGTAGGACTTCCTCGTCTGTGTACTGCAAGCGAACAAAGCACCCTGCTGAGCATAATTCCATACCTTTGAAGTCACAGATGCCTGGAGCTTTATCAGTTAGCACGTCTATTACGAAATTAAGCTGGAGTGAGCATCTTTGGAGTAAATCACTGTTTAACGTTTCTTCTGATGACATCTCACTGAGTAGCCTAGCAGGGCTACATGACTATCAGTATAGAGCCTTCATTAGAACTAAATATCTATTCCTAAGTCGTTTAACATTTAGACTCTGGCACAAAATCTCTGGTTCTAGTTGGTCAGAAAAGTAGATTGAGTCAAAAGAAATATATGGTAAAACACAGAGATAGGAAGAATGAGGGAATGGTTAGATTCAGTATAGTTTCGCTCAGATGAGGATAATGTGTGTAAGCATCTGCGACACTGACATCACCTAGAGTCTCGAACAACTGGTTTCTTTCTTTCCACAGACCCGACCGGCTAGTCTGCATCGGCTCACATGGCTCGAGCCAACAGTCAAAGGTCAAAAAGTCCTGAGCACGGATGAACAGGAAGTTTAGAAAGCTGTTAGTAATATGAAACAGCCTCGCCTGGTTAACTAGTTCACTAGTTACTAGCCGGTCCTAAGCCCGGGTAAAGAGGGAAGTTTGGGTATAGGGCTAGCAACCCTACCCTACAAAACAAATCAAACCGCTAAAGAAACTTCAAAGCACAAACGAAATATAGAAAATAAAAACAAACTTATCCCTCACTGGAATCGGAGAGTCAAAATCACGCCAGTTGGTGAAAGCCTTCGGGAAGCCAATTAGCCGGACCGATGTCTCTTCTCTCGATGAAAGCGAAAGTAAACGTAGGGACATGGAATGTCCTCACCGTGTTTGAACCCAGCAAGGCAGCCCAGATTGCAAACGAGATGAGAAGGTATCACATTGAAGTGCCTGGAATTTGTGAAAGCAGATGGAATGAGAGTGGACTCTCCAAACTGTCAACTGGAGAATCAATAATCTACTCCAGTCACCCAGACGACAACCACGAGCACACTGAGTTTTGGAGTGGCTATCATGATGTCCCCAAAAGCATCGAAGGCCCTCATGCAGTGGGAACCAATCTCCTCCTCCAGGATCATGACAGCAAGATTCAACTCAAAAGGAAGGAAAGTCACAATCATAAAATGCTATGCACCTACAAATAATGCAGAGCAAGAGAAAAAGGAGGAATTCTATAGACAACTGCAATCAACACTGAACAAGACCCCACCTCAGTTGGCGACATCAAAATTCTAATGGGTGGGGTGACATGAATGCCAAACTAGGAGCGGACAACACAGGAAGAGAACCAATGATAGGTCGAGAAGCGCTCGGCGAGATCAACGAGAATGGAGAATTGTTTGCAGAATTCTGTGCATTCAACGATTGGTGATTGCAGTGAGGCAGTGTGTTCAAGCACAAGGATATCCACAAAGCCACATGGATTTGATTTCACCAGACACCAGGACACACTACACTAAAAATCAAATCGACTTCATCTCAATCTCAAGAAAGTGGAGACACAGTCTAC